TTGAAGATACTAGTTTTGTTTGAACATCGGCCTCCTTGAAGAAAGCGGTTGCTACATGCGATGTCAGCGCAGTCGCTCCACATTTTCTATCCAAGGCGATCGATGGTACTTCGAACTGCATGGTAAAGATGCTTCGTGGGCTCCAAGGCCAGGGGCACAAATCCCGCTCGTACGAACCAGACTCACAGAAGTTAGTATGCTTTGTATACATGGAAGATTCAAAACTCATTGCACTTGCACATTATTTGAAAGGAGGTCGCGTGTTTGTTTGCACGGGATTCAGCCTCTAGCTGGCCAAAGTCTAGCCTCACCTTTACACTTTGCAAACCCCTTCAAACCCCTTCCGCTGCCCATCACAGCGTTTACAAACATAACAGCCCTCTTAGGCAGATCATTTTTTCACCTCTTTCCCCTTGCTAGTCTCACCCTTCTTGGGACCCTTCTCCTTCTTTGGTTTGTTGGCCCGCTTGATGCCACTGAGAATTGAACCCGCTGCCGCCTGCGAGGGTCAAGGATTGGCACAATGGTCAGCTTTCTTTTTTTTAGACGCTCTACAACTAAAAGGTTTCTTTGTCTTAAAAGAACATGGAGGGGCGAAGATAAAACAGGACGTGTTTTCTTGTACCCCTGACCTCTGCGTTGGGAAACCACTTTCGCTCCTTTTCAATCTTCTTGAAGAGGGAGTCGAAGAAGGAGTGGTCGTCAACTTGTTTGGAGACAGCTTGTTGCAAACTTGCATATCGCTTCTCCATGGTGCTGGCGTAAGTGATAAGCTGAGTTGAAAGCTCCCCTGCATAGCTGACAGCGCCCAAAGCCATCCCCTTTCTTCGAGCAGCCACACTTTCATCCAACACCTCTTGCATGAGGTCCTTGGCCTTGTCGATGATTGTCTTTGGGGCAACAGGCACTGAGGCTTCCTCGGTTTTCTTGGCCTTCTTCTTTGGCGCTGCCTGGACAGATTCGTTCAAGGCATCGTGCAATGCTTTCTGGCCTGCTGCAGTTTCAGCGTGGCCAGCTGGCATTGCACCTGCCCTCATCATCCCATCCGTCTCATCGGTGAGGGCTTTGAGCATGTCATTGTCGAGGCTTGCTTCACCGTCAATGATGGTGGAGTCACGGATGGTCTGGCGCCGATTCATCTCCTTTGGCTTGCGCATGTAGTAGAACCTTTCAAGCTCGTCATCGGGGAAATCCTCCGAGTTGTAGAACAAGCCCTCTTGTTGGCGCCGGGCCATCAAAGATCGGCCCTTCTCCTCCCCGTACATCTCCACTAGCTCTTTTCCTCTCTTCGCGATCCATCCTGAGAGGGATTCCTGCTCATTGGAGTGGGTCCGCTGCATGATGAGGCGGGCGTTGTCCCAGTTCTTTCCAGCGTCCAACCATGCACAAAAAAAGATCATTTTTGCATTTGGTGACGTAGCTGGACATGTCGACGGGGAACAGCTTCTTGTTTTGAATCTGCCTCAAGAAGGTGTCATATTCTTTTTTGTGCGTCACTGAATTGCGCACTGGAACTATGGCCGTCTCGTTGGCCCCACACTTTTTCCTTTCACTCTTGTCACTCTCTTTCTCCTCCTCTTCAGCCTCATCGTCACTCCCTTCATCACCCGATGCAGATTGAGACTTGTCATCGGATTCAGGCTCAGACTCATCTTCACCTTCTTCATTTGCTTCATCGTCTTCTTCTTCTTCTGAGTCTGTTCCACCATGATCTTCTTCTGCCTCAGACGCAGACTGGCTGTCTGCTTCCTCTTCAAGCTCAGGCGCAGAAGCTTTCCCGCTAGCTTGCCCGTTCTTCTGTTTGATCAACTTCTCTAGCTGCTCATTGATGGAATCATCACTCTCCTCACCACTGGATGCATCACTCTCCTCCTCCTCTACCTTCCTTTGCTCCTCAAGCTTTCGCTTCAACGCTTGCATGCTGCTCATGACATGCTTGTCAACCTTTGTTTTCTTGTCCTTTCCCATGGACACTTCCTTCTTGTCCTTAAGGTCTTTCTCGTTCTTGGCCGCGTTGGATTTGCTCGCAGCAGCAGCTTTGCCCCCATTTCTCAAGGCTGAAGGCCTGGCTGCAGGTGACTGTTGGCTTGACTCCCTACAACGCTTTTGTTTCTCTTCCTTTGTCACTTCCTTCACTTTTGGATCCTTCTTTGGGCGATTGTCCTTCCTGGCCACTTTGCTTTCATGCTTTTCCTCCTTGACAGGTGCCTTGTTTTTGGGAGCCTTCTGGAAACGTGGGTCCATACACTTTGGGACTTTCTTCTCCTTCTTTGTCTTTCCGCTCTTGGCGACACTGGCTGCAGGTGGAGACTTGAAGGTCACTCTGCATCGCGGTGGCTTTGGAGCTGGCTTTGCCATGACGAAATGGGCAAGGCACCGCGGCAAAGAGCTTACTCAAGGGGAGTTCGAGATGAATCTCCAAAAGACACGTGAATTCTCGAGACATGCGCATTCTCGAACCTACAGGAGACATGTGAATTCTTGAACTGACATGTGCACTCTCACCTTTCTTAGTGAACAATCCCTGAAAGATTTCTGCCAGAAAGATTCAAACACAGGTTGTGAAATCTGGAGAACAAGCCAAATCTACAGTTCGCAACATTTCGCTCCAATTCGCATCAGAATTCTCTACAGGTCGCACGTTTCTGAGGACCCAAACTCTCAATGATTTTTTAAAAAAAGTTGTGACTTTCTGCAACCCTGCAGTCTGCTGTGGCTCCTCGCTTCAAAGCTGCAAGCGGCATGGCGCTCTGCCAGCTATAGATCCTGCAGAGGCAACGGTGTGAGACGAAGAGAAGTTGCTGGGGGGTGGGTTGTTGGAAAGATTGAGCATGACTGCACGCAGGCGGTAGCACTTTCTTGTTTCATTTCGTTTGTTCTGAGTATGGACGTCCCCACCATTGCCCCACTGCATGCCTAAAGACTGCAGGAAGTAGCTATCAGCTAATTGAAGCTCTGAGAAATGAGAAAGCACACATCCCATGATCAAAAAGGGCCCTAGCAGTTTCACTGCCTTGACCCCAGAAACTGCATCACTGAAAGAAGCTTTGCGCGCTTCAGCCAGTGGCTATTGCTGGCCACAGCGCTGTCTAGGGTGTTTTCGGTGTCCAAAGCCTCGCGCAGGAACCTTCGCGCTGCTCTCTTCACGGCTCGGGCGTTCTTGGTTCGAGTCTTGGACATGGCACGCCCAAACCTGGGATGGACAGATGGATAGAGGGACGAAGGCCAGGGAGGCCAACTGATTGGTTGGGGAGCGTTGGAGTATTTGGAAGCTGACTAAGCGCTGTCCTATAATCAAACAAGAAAAGTCAAGTGACTTCCTCGGATAGTGTTGACTCTGTTTGAGGTCTTTCCCACCTTTGCACCGCCATTCCCC